CACCAGGGGGCGGGGCTGGCTGGCATGTGGTGCTGGGGGATTGAACCGCGGTCCCTGTGCTTTGCTTAACTTAGCTTGTTCTAAGTAGGTGCTTTAGACCACTGATCCATCTCACCAGCCCGGTAACTTGTTCTTGACACATAACTGGGAATGGCAGCACTTGAACCCAGCTGCTTCCCTCCACCCTCTCTGCAAGGTAAAACTCTTGCCGTCATCTCCCAAACAGGATCAAATACATACTTATTTAAAAATAAGTCAGCTCACAAAGTGATTGCAGCAGCTGGTGTCTGCCTCAACTGTCACTGGCAGAAGGAAGGGCCCTTATTGCACGTCACAGCTCTGCGGAATGGAGACCACCAGGGCTGGGTTATTTTAGCCTGGACCATAGCTGGGGTGCCAGCGATCCCAAGTGGGCTTTCCATCTCCAGGAACACACACAGCTGAGCATGCCTGTTCAGGAAAAACTGGCTCATACTGTCCAGCGCCTAAAGCCACCTGGGGCCTGGCTGGGTGTTGGGCTGGGTCCACACACACCCACCTATGCACAACAGCTGCCCTTGCAGAACTCCAACAGGGAGTTCTCAGCAGGCTCCCACCTGAGTCCATAGAGCCTTGACACCAGGATCTGCCCTCTTCCGCCTTCATGGCTAGGGCTTCAAGGTACCCAGGGTCTTACCAGCACCTTCCTCCTCTCCAAGGGTTTGGGCAGTGGTCTCCCCTCTCCACTAGCCACTTATTCCCAGGGAGTCCCCAGTCCCTGTCAGGATAGGCCTGACTGGTAGCTCCTCAGTGACCTCTCCAGCTTGGCCTGCCCTCCCCCAGAAACTTCAGGCTTCAGCCTCTGCTGGCCTGCTGGACATATGTACCAGGGTGACATCTCCACTGGGGTCAGCCCTCCCACTCCCACTTCCATCTCCCTTCTCCCTTGCTCCTCCTCATCCCAGAAAAGGGCCACACTGCCTGCCCATTGTCTGGTCCCAACTTCTCCCTCACACCCAAATCCATTCCATCAGCAAAACCTGATGGTTCTGGCTTCCCAGTGGATTCAGAATCTACTTCCTCTTACTGCCACCACTATTGGCATCCTGGTCCCAGACACTGTTCTTCTTGGCCCCCAAGCCCACAACAGCACCTGGCCCAGAGATGTGCTTATTCAGTAGCTCTGAATGGCTGCATCTGCTGGACTTCCTGGTTTCAGATCCCAGAGTTGCCACTTTAACAGACTGGTACCTTTGGACAAATGACTCAGTCTAGGAATAACAACAGTATCTATACCATCAGGTTGTTCGGGAGATTAAGTGAGAAAAAAAAATTGTAAGTGTCCAGTACAGTACCTGGCACATAGTAGGTTTTCTTTTTCCCCAGTACGGGGGATTAAGTTCATGGCCTTTATACTGAGCTACATCCCCAATCCTCTTAACATTTTTTCTTTTGAGACAGTATTCCAGTTAGTCACTGAGTTACCCAGTCTGGATTTGAACTTGCTATCCTCCTGCCTCAGCCTCCCAGAATGATGGGATTAAGGCATGTGGTACCACTCCTGGTCCACAGTGAGTTATTTATTTCTGTCTTTTTTTAGACAAGTTTTCTTTATACAGTTCAGGCTGACCTTAAACATTTATACCTGGTCCAAGGGATTCACTTTGTAGCCCAGGCTGACCTCAAAGTAATCCCCCTGCTTCAGCCTCCCAAGTGCTAGGATTACAGGCATATGCCTCCATGTCCAGCTCCATAGTAAGTTCTTAATAACTCACTGCTGGTTGCTGCAGCCATCCTAGTTGTTATTACTGAAATTGTTGCTGGCTATGTCCTGAGGAGCCTTAGAGTGTACCATCTTCATGAAGGGACTGGAAGTACTGAGGGAGGCCTGTGCCTTATCTTGGGCAGAGGAACTCAGGCAATGGCCCCTCTAATGCCTGTGAGCAAACTCGGGGACCCCACATTACTGGCAGCCTCTTGGAGGCCACTGACAGCCAGCAGGCAAGTGGATGGGATGGGGGCTGCTGCAAGCTGCTGGAATCTGACTGCATGCCTCAAGCAACCTTGCGCAGCCACAGGCTGGGGAAACACAGGGCACTCTGGTCACCCAGCATTCGCAGGCACAGTCCTCGTGGCACGAGCCAGAAAACCCTGCCACCAAATTCCTGTGTGATCTTGGGCAAGTCACTCCCCCATCCCAGCCTTGCTTCCCTCAGATATGTACCACAGACACTAGATTCCAGGTCATTTAAGGCCTGGAAAGCTCTGACAGTTGGCTGGGCCAAGGGTGGGGAGCAAAGTGGCTCAGTGCTGGGGGCTGTGCCTCTCTGTGCCCCAATACTTACCCTGCTGAAGACGTTTTCAAAGCTGTTTGGGCTGGTGACATCAAAGCAGAGGAGCAGGACACTGGCATCAGGGTAGAACAGAGGCCGCAGGCGGTCATAGTCATCTTGCCCTGGGTAGAGTATGTGGTCATTGTCTCCATATCTCTTGCCTGCTGTCAGCCTCTCTCTAATAGCAGAGAGCTTACGCCAGCAGACAGAGGCTTCTGGTGGGGCCTTGTATCTGTGTCCCCTTGCAGTGGTGCTAACCTGGCCTGTCCATGGGATGTGCCAGCCCTGGCCTGGGATGGCTATTTGCTGAGAAATCCTGTTTTGGAAGGAGTGGAGGCAAGGCAGGGCCCAGGCCTGAGGCAGCATGGAGGGACTGGGACTCTGTGACTTTCGCTTTGGGCTGACTCTTGCGAGGGCACAGTGAGGAGGCCAGAGGGCAGAGCTCACAGGCAGACAGGTCTTAGAGAAGCTAAAGCCAGTGTGGAAAGCTTGAGAGGTCCTTAAAACTCCAGGGCTCCAGGGCTTGGGAGCTGCTCTGGTGTGGGGACATAGGCAGGCACAAGTACAGAACTTGGAGGGCTCAGGTTCCCAAGGGGCCTCAGTCCTAGCCTCCATGGCATAGAAAGAGTGAGGCTGAGCCTCTTCCACCTTGCCCGCCCATGGTCCCCCCACACTCACCTGCCGTGTCCCAGATTTGGAGGTGCACAGGTTTGCCCTTCATGTGCATTTTGACAACATGCCGCTCAAACACTGTGGGAGTGTACCTCTGAGGAGAAAGGGGAAAGTGGGGGGAGCTTTTGAGCGTTCCAGTCCCATTTTGATGGTTCCAGTCCCAGGGAGGCAGGCCAGAACCCAGGGAGGCCTGTAGCACTGACCCCTGCCCCCAACTTGGGAGGCATTGACAATTGTTTCCCGGATATTTCCTCAGTGGCCAGCCTTGGGGAAGGACTAGTGCCCTGTGGCAGCCATGTCCTGACCCTCCCTGGCCTTGTTCTCCTAGGTTACAAGAGGAGAAGGTTATGCTGGGTGTGGTGGCACATGCCTATAATCCCACCACTGTGGAGGCTGAGGCAGGAGAATCACCAGCCTGGGTTACATAGTGAGTTCAAGGCCAGCTTGAACTACATAGTGTGACCCTGTCTGAAAAAAAATAAAGTGGGCCGGGTCGGGGGAGATAGAAGATTAAAATAGATCCTTAGCACAGGGCCTGGTACAAAACCAGCACTCTGT